ATTCAGTTAGCTGTAAAGACACACTGAAAATTTTAAGTAGGAAATTTGGATGGCATAAATTTGTTTTCAGTACATCAGTCTGGCAGTAGATGGCTTGAAGACCAGAGAAAAATGGAAGCACAGAGGTGAGTTCTGAGGATGCTGTAATGCAGGAAAGAAATAATGAGGGACTGAATTATAAAGTGGCAGTAGTGATAAAAATGGACATATTTGAAATATAATTAAGATATAGAAGCAACAGGATTTTGCGATTGATGGAGAGAGGTAAATGGGGGGGAGGGGGGAACAGAGGTGTCAGCATGGTATGAAATGGTACGAGAGTTTCATCCTGAGTTGAGACAAAACGAGAGTTTCGTCCCGACTGGAGGACGGTGGGTTAGAGATGGGGACATGGAGGGGCAGAGGTTTAAGGTGGGAGAGATTAATTTCATTTTGGAGGGGAAGGTTTTGAGAACTTCAATGCAGATCTGAGCATGTTGAGATGTTGCCATTTAATAAGTGGTTGGATACCTGCATCTGGAGGTCAAGGAAGACAGAAATATCTAGGATTTCTTAGAGCTGCAGGGGTTGGTAATGCCTTCGGAGGAATAAAGTCCTCCATGGAGGCCTTCTGAGAGGACAAGAGAAAAAGAACCAAAATAAAATACCAGGGAACATAGGATTTAGGTTTGTAATTTGCTGATGAGAGCTTTTGCCCTCAAGGCAGACTCTAGCTTCTGTTAGGGTCATGTTGAGAGCTACTAGAAGGGGCTACCTCCACACCTCTTCTAATACTGCCTTCCTGGTTAGAATCCTGGTTAGGCTTGTGTCTAAATCCTCTTCATCTATCAGATAGCATCTGTCTACCCTTTCTTTAAGAGTAATCAGGATCACACTTTGCTTTTCTTTGATGGTACCATAATTTGAATTGTCCTAGAAGCAGGCACCAGGGTGATGAGATGTACAAGAGATTGGTCAGGGGAAACACCTATAGAAGATAAAGGTTTTGGGAGGGGTAGTCCAGAAAAGGCTGGGAGAGCCTTCAGACTATGATGGAAGTGTGACCCCTGTGAAAGAAAGGGGGAAAGAAGGGGAATTGGGTAGCAAGCACCTCAGAATACAGCACAATTTCAAGAAAGACTTGGCCAGGCTGATAGGTAGTTTTCAAACCAAAATCACCAACTGGAAGTATCCCACATCTGAGGAATAGGCTTTCCTGAGTACCCCCACTTGGCTTACTTAGCCCTTTGCTAGGAGGAGCCCAAAGGAAGTGCTGCCATTGTGAAGCACTGGGACTCTGAGCTGGAAAGCCTCCCGGCAGGAGGAGAATCTGAGTGGCACATTTCACTGCCACCTCATATGCCTTCAGTGACTCAGTAACATTTCTTCCTAAATGTGCTACTGGCGGTTATTGTCCAAATCAGTTAAAACTCATGCTTGTGTCATTATTAATTATTTCATTTGTACCCACCCAACTAGGTTATAAAGCTTTCTTTAAACAGCAGTGCAGAGCACTGAGTTTTTACCTCAGAAAGCATCTAAGTAGCATTCTAATACAACTTGTTTTATTTTCATTACATGAGTTTGTCTGATAGTAGTAAACAGTGGGGGTTTTGACTTAGGAAATTGGGATGGGGGAGGTTAAGAGAGAGTATGACTTGGATGAGGAGCTCCACAGATATCATAGGGAAGGGGGTAGAGCTAGAGGACGTGAAGTAAACACACCCACTGGAGGAAAGCAGACACTAGTGTCCAGGCACTTCTGTTTGAGGAGATGAAGTCCTAGTAGGCCCACAAAACACAGTATCCAGAGAACATGGTGGAAAAGGACTAATCTAGAGCAAGAACTATCATGGGGGGATGTCCAGCAAGATGTGATGAATAAGAATTAAAGTAGATATCACTGCAAATCCCTTTTTTTTAGAACTATGCTTTCCACCCACAGAGGCAGTTTTCATACACCATGACACATCTTCTTAACTTTGGTTAATTGGACAGGAAGAGACACCCATCCCAAGATGACCTCCCCCACCCCGGCAGTTTGGAGTTGGAGTTCAATAAATCTAATTAGTGTAACTTTACCTGAACTGAGCTGACATGTTCAAAACAGGGCTTTTGGAAACCTTTGGGACCATCATGTACACTAGGAAGCAAGGAGAACTGGCTTGCAGAAAGAATGAGTCAGGTATTCAGAGAAGAGCTGAGGTAAGAGGCAGTGTGACTCCAGAGACAGGGAGGGAGGCTGGGAGAATAGTTGCCTGGACTCCTGAGGAATTTCCATTCCTGGACCTAATCCTGAGTCCCATCCTTTGAGTTCTGAGATAACCCTCCAACCCTAGAATAAATTCTTAGTTTTGCTTAATTCAGTTTGAAAGAGTTTCTTTTAGTAGCAGCCAAACAATATTGACGGAGACAGCATTTTGGCAGATATGCTGAAGACACAAATAGGAAATTCGGAAACATATGATGTGCGGACATGCAGCCAGGCAAATGGTTAGCATTAGGGAAAAGGGAAGTGTAGCCCTGGGAGGAGGGGCCCAGACAAGGCAGCACTTAGTCCAGTAGGAGCCCGGTGACCAAATGAGTTATCAAGTCGGGGCCTGAACATACAGGATCTGATCATAGGAGGGAACTAGGGTGTAGGATAGAGCCTTCATCCTAGCACCAAGGCAGAAGTTGGTTATTGGGAATCAAGAAAAAGGTCGGAGGCCAACTTAGACTTTGCAATCTAATGAGAATGAAATTTATGTGTGCATTTAGTAAGAATTATTGGGCATCTATTACATTCTTTGGAGTTTCCTGTATTAACAGACCTAGTTGGAGGGGTCTGTGTACTAGGGGATGGATCCAGCCTGGTGGTGGAGACCCCACTGATACCTGGTGCAGAGGAGAGAAATCTGAGAGACAGAAGCCGGCAGGGAGCTGGGCAGCATGTCATGTGGAGTAGATGATAGATTCTTAAAATTTGGAGCATTCTAAGGCAAAACAGACCTGGAAGAAGTTGAAACTGAAAACTCAGAAAGTAACTTCTTTCAAAGAGCAACAGAGGAGTGATTCAGAAAGGAAGATGGGAAAATGTCAGGGACACAGCTTGTCTATTTGTTAGTTTCTCCTAGGGCCCTGGTGGCAGCTAAGGAACCCATAGAAAATACCTCTTGTGCCTCTTTTAAGCCAGATGAACCATTTCATCACGCACCTGCTGTACTTTAACCAAAGTTAAAAATTTCAGCATTTGGGAAGTATAAACTCCAGCCTTTTTCCTAATTCAATCCAGTCTTACCGGATAAGCAAGACTAGATTCCTTTAATATAAGTCAGCTCAACATCTGATTTAACCTCAAACCCTGACCTCCTTGGAAGAAGAGATATAGTAAGAAAAGAGGAAAAGTTAGAAAGGAGAAAAATTAAGGAATGCTTTATAATCTATTACTCATATTGGGTAGAATTGGGTCAAACATCTAATCTCCTATGACCTCCTTCTTTATCTCCCACTTATAATTTTGAATATCCTGTAATTACAGATATTACTTTTCATCAAGACCTCAAAAGCATTTTTTTCCAGATGATATCAGGGACTCCCCAGATAGTACTTGACTTAACCTAGACAAGATGTACTGAAAACTAACCTTGACAATAACAAATGAAGGAACATACAGTTGGCTCCAGTTTCTTTTCTCCTAATCATATTTCTAGTGTTGTTGACCTTAGCATTAAATAGAGTCAAGGGGCCCCCTGGGCGACCCAGTTGGTTGAGTGTCTGACTCTTGATTTCTGCTCAGGTCGTGATCTCACAATTGCTGGAATTGAGCCCTGTATCGGGCTCTGTGCTGACAGCGTGGAGCCTACTTGGGATTCTCTCTCTACCTCTGTCTCTCTCTGCTCCTCCCTTGCTCACATGTGCACACTCTCTAACACACACACACACACACACACACACACACACACACACCCCGCACACATTAAATAGAATCAAAAGTAAAAGATCTGGAGCTGAGTCAGCAATTTCTGCTTAGCTTCTAACTGGCCTGATGGGGTGCAAATTATTTAACCTCCCTAAGCCTTTATTTCCTCATCCATAAAATGGAGTGATGGAGTGATAACATAGGTTTTAATACCTTGCTAGGTGATTTTAAAGGCCATGTATGAAAACCACTGCAAATAGTATAAACACAAATGGAAAATAAGCAGCTTCTTTAATAAATCAGCAGGTCCTTTAATAAATCAGCATAGTAGAGCAAAGAATGTATGAGAACCTAAATTTTCTCCTTACTGGCTCTGTGGCTTTGGGCAATTCATTTGAGTTCCAAGTCTTGCTTCTTTCAATTATAAAAGAAGTATGATAATATTTCTGTTTCATGGTTTTTTATGAAGATTATAATGACACACATATACTAAAATATAAAGAATATATTAATGACTATAGTTTTTAATACTGCCTCAAAATAGAATAATGAGATTTTGGTGAAGGATAATCTCAAGACCAAACACATGTGAATTGATTTTTTTCTTGTTATAAAAGTATTAATATAATTTTATCTTAGGATGTCTTTATCCAAATCCTTTCTGGATTATTTTTGCAGAAAATCGTCCTGATTTTTGTGGCAGCATCAAATTTAAACAAGACATAATCACTTAAAAATAAAACATGGAATTCATTTACATCCCAAAAATAAATGAGTGTGTTCTTAAAGCAAAGATCCTTGTGTGTGTGTGTGTGTGTGTGTGTGTGTGTGTGTGTGTGTGTGTATTTTTAATGAAGTCTTTTAGAAAACAAAAATGGTATGGTCCATTTGTATTCATAATTTATCAGTTTAATACTCCCTTGAATGGAGAGAAATATGGCTTGTGTATAAATGGATAAAGTTCTAATAAAAGGGTTTAGTTAAGCAAATATGATTCCGTTTTATATTGAGATTGTTACCACTCAAAGGAGTTACTTTTCTGCATTTTTAAAAAATAAAATCATTCTACATTTATACTGGTTAAATTCTAATATTCTTTAACCTTTTATTTCCTTGCAAGATAATAGTTGGAGAAACTGCTGTGTTTTGCCTACAACTAGCCACGCGGGACTTTGAAAACCAGGAGAAAACTATTTTAACTGGAGATTGTTGCTATATAAACCCACTGGTGCGGCGAACTGTACGATTTTTGGGTATGTGTTTATTGAATTATTTTTAATGTTGCTGAAACCATGTTTACATATAAGCTAACTCTTAAAATGAGCAGCATTTTAACCCTATGCAAATATTGGATTATATTTTATTTGAAGTGCTTCAGTTTGATTTTAAAAATAACATTGCATACAGTGTTCTCTCATATTGTATGAGCCTACGTCAGGTGTCATTTCCATATTATTTTAAGGAAAAAAGAACACCACACTTGGATGTTTTCATATTCTTTAAGAAACTAAAAATTATAAAATTAAAAGAAATTGTTTACTGGACTTACGAAACTTCAGAAACAATGCTTAGGGAGAAATGATAAGCTAATTATATTGTTGAACATCATGAAAGACAAGGAAAATAGATTGGCAAATAAAACATATGTTGTATTGGGCACCTGGGTGGCTCAGTTGGTCGAGCGTCCAACTTTTGATTTCAGCTCAGGTCATGATCTCACAATTGTGAGATTGAACCCTGTGCTCAGCATGGAGCCTGCTTGGGATTCTCTCTCTCCCTCTCTCTCTCAAAATAAATACATAACCTTAAGAAAGATATGTTGGGGCGCCTGGGTGACTCACTTGGTTGGTTACATATCAATCTTTGGCTCAGGTCTTGATCTCACGGTTCGTGAGTTGAAGTTCGAACCCCACATTGGGGTCTCTGCTTTCAACATAGATCCAGCTTCAGATTCTCTGTCCTGCTCTCTGTCTCTGTGTCCCTTTCCCCACACTGCTATGCATGTGCACTTTCTCTCTCAAATAAAAAATAAACATTAAAAGATATGTTGTATTAATTACCATATGTAGCTCTCCATGACATACTACCTCTGAGCTTTTTTTAAAAAAAAAACAAAACTGCATTTCATTAGAGGAAAAGATTTACTATCACCATATTGTACACCTGAAACTAACATAAGATTGAATGTTGACTATACTGGAGTTAAAGTTAAAAAAGTAAAAAAAAATTAAAAAGGATTTACTGATACGTTAACCTTCAATCTGAAATTCTAGCACAAATGCATGTAAGCATTGATAAGTTATTGCAAATCATTTCAATTCAGTAGAAAATTTGGTCAAGAAAAATTTTCAACTGATACAGTAAAGTTTAATATAAATTACCATTTCCTGTATTTATCAGATAAAAAAATATGTCTGTACATAGTATACTAAAAAAATTTTAAGATAAATTCTGATCTGAATTTAGATTAAGGATGGTGTACCTTTCAATATATTTCTTGTATCGATGGGATCAAGATGAAAACTTTGGAGATATTATACATAGATAAGTTAAGCTATATATAAACCTACTTAAAGACTAATCAAATGTCATCATGCCTTTGAATCTCTCTAAGATGGAAGGTTTTCATATCTAAAACTGTTCTTTTTATTGCCATCAAGTTATACATCTCCAGAGCCCTCATTTATACCTGTTGAAGTGATAACCTTTCTATGAAACTTTACAAAGTCATTTTTTTGCATGCATCAGTACTATGTTCTTGACTCATTTATCATTGCATGAGTGTCATTTAATAACAAAATAAGCAATAATATACTCAAAACTAAAAATGATGAAATTGACACTCTCCAAAATACTATTAAAGCAGATTTTATTATGCCTACTTAAGTAAATGTTTTTCAGCATTTGCACACATATTTCTTTTTTTTTTTTTTTTTTACAAATAGTTTATTGTCAAATTAGTTTCTACATAACACTCAGTGCTCATCCCCAAAGTGCCCTCCTTCATGCCCATCCCCCCCCCCCACATCCATCAGTCCTCAGTTTTTGTCAGCATTCAAGAGTCTCTCATGGTTTGCCTCTCTCCCTTTCCCCCACCATTTCCGCCCTTCTTCTCCCCCTTGTTCCTCCGTCAAGTTCCTCCTAATCCTCCTATACGTGCAAACATATGGTATTTGTCCTTCTCTGCCTGACTTATTTCGCTCAGCATAACACCCTCAAGGTCCATCCATGTTGCTACACATGGCCAGATTTCATTGTTTCTCATTGCCATGTAGTATTCCATGGTATAGATAAACCACATCTTCTTGATCCATTCGTCTGTTGATGGACACTTAGGCTCTTTCCATGTTTTAGCTATTGTGGAGAGTGCTGCTATGAACATTGGGGTACATGTGCTCCTATGCCTCAGCATTTCTGTATCCCTTGGGTAAATTCCTAGCAGTGCTATTGCTGGGTCATAAGGGAGTTCTATTGTTAGTTTCCTGAGGAACCTCCACACTGTTTTCCAGAGGGGCTGTACCAGTTTACATTCCCACCAACAGTGCAGGAGGGTGCCCGTTTCTCCACATCCTCGCCAGCATCTAGAGTTCTCTGATGTGCTCATTTTAGCCACTCTGACTGGCGTGAGGTGGTATCTCAGTGTGGTTTTGATTTGTATTTCCCTGATGAGGAGGGATGCTGAGCATCGTTTCATGTGTCTGTTGGCCATCTGGATGTCCTCTTTGGAGAAGTGTCTGTTCATGTCTTCTGCCCATTTCTTCACTGGGTTGTTTGTTTTTCGGGCGTGGAGTTTGGTGAGTTCTTTATAGATTCTGGATATTAACCCTTTATCTGATATGTCATTTGCAACTATCTTTTCCCATTCCGTTGGTTGCCTATTAATTTTCTGGGTTGTTTCCTTGGCTGTGCAGAAGCTTTTAATCTTGATGAGGTCCCAACAGTTTATTTTTGCTCTCGATTCCCTTGCTTTTGGGGATGTGTCAAGTAAGAAGTTGCTGCGGTGGAGGTCAAGGAGGTTGTTTCCTGCTTTCTCCTCTAGGGTGTTGATAGTTTCCTGTCTCACGTTCAGGTCCTTTATCCATTTTGAGTTGATTTTTGTGCATGGTGTGAGAAAATGATCTAGTTTCATTCTTCTGCATGTTGCTGTCCAGTTCTCCCAACACCATCTGTTAAAAAGGCTGTCATTTTTCCATTGGATATTCTTTCCTGCTTTGTCAAAGATCAGTTGGCTGTATACTTTTGGGTCCACTTCTGAGTTCTCAATTCTGTTCCATTGGTCTATGGGTCTGTTTTTGTGCCAATACCATACTGTCTTGAGGATGACAGCTTTGTAGTAGAGGCTGAGGTCTGGGATGGTGATACCTCCCGTTTTGGTTTTATTTTTCAGTATTACTTTCGCTATTCGGGGTCTTTTGTGGTTCCATACAAATTTTTGGATAGTTTGTTCTAGTTTTGAGAAGTATGCTGGTGCAATTTTGATTGGAATTGCATTGAATGTGTAGAGTTGCACACATATTTCTAAAGAATATACAAGTAAAGCATATTTCTAAAGACTATACACAGTAAAGCATGCTTTAAATCTCTGTATGTTTCTTATTATATTATTTTATAAAATATTTAGGATTGCTTGATTTATTTCTTTCCCCTTGTTCATTATGATTTGGATGTTTCTAGTTTGTTATAACTGGAAGATTATAAGCAAGACATTACTGCATCATAAGGCATCATTTTTCTTCTGAGTATTTATTTTATTTTATTTTATTTTATTTTATTTTATTTTATTTTATTTTATTTTATTATTTTATTTTGAGAGAGCATGAGCAGGGGAGAGAAGCAGGAGAGAGAAGGAGGGAAAGAAAAAGAAAGAGCGAGAGAGAGAAAGAGAGAGAGAGAATCTTAAGCAGGTTCCATGCTTAGCACAGAGCGAGATGTGGGACTCGATCCCATGACCCTGTGATCATGACCTAAGCTGAAATTAAAACTTAGCTGCTCGGTTGAGCAGCTGAACGACCCAGGTGCCCCAGGGCATCATTCTTTGTATGGACTTTATCCTGGTGGTCAGCATAGTAGATACACTCATGGGATCTCACTTTAATAAGTATCTTTATAGTCATCTGCAATATTGGTCTTGGACCTGATGCATTGACTATTTTAATTCAAAACACATTTGGGAACTTTGCAAGTATCAAGAGACATTTCCATAACCCTATCAAATAATTCTGTCTGTTTTAGACAGGAAGTCTTATTATAGCAGATAAAGAGAATGGTTTGGTCTAATAAAATGAGTACATCTTAGCCTAGATTTCAGGGGAGTAGAGATGAAGACTTACCGTTTAAGTTCCCATGCTGGGCCATGATGTTTGGAAGGAGAGGTTATGTGCATTAAATTTTATTGAGCTCCATTCTCTTTCATTTCTCTGCTTATCCTAAATTTCTGCTTTTGATAATATTTACTTGTGTGACTCACAAAACGCTGGGAAGATGTAAAGAAAAAGCTTTTTATTATTTGCTTTTAGAATTTTTAGACAAAGGGAGAACAAAGGTCTTCATCTCGATGCCATTTGTGTACTCATAGAGTTTTGCTATGTGCAAGTTTGTGTGCATGATCCTTTTATAATCTTATATAATATTTCAAAAATTAGAAGTATAGCCATGCATCTGATGCTGGAAAATTATTTGATCCCGCACAACTTTCCTGGTGACTTCCTACACAACAGCCACTGATTATGTAAAGATTTAGCAAACAAACAATCCAGAAATGTATGGCTAAGAAGAAAGCTGTCTGATTATTATAAAAGAACCATGTGACTTTTTAATGAATGAACTGTTTGGGAAGTATTCTTTCGGTATAATTTAAAAATATCTGTTGGAATTTTATTTCCCCAAATTATAGAAGAATAGATCTCTTCACATTGGTACCACATCCTCAAAGGTTGTATCTGTAAGTTTAATTGAAAATGATGCCAAGGAGTATATTTTGCCTACACTACCTAAGGATGAAGATAAGTTTTGTTTCTCATGATCGAAGACATTGATGTGGAATATTTTTTAATTTGAGTAAATTGTTAAGTTTCTCACAAAAGGGGACAAAAATTCTGTGGATACTTAATTTGATACCTTCAGGTAACCAAAGCAAGTAAATTTTAGTGCTCTGAAGATAATTGAAAAAGTATAATTTTGATTGCATTATTATTTACTAAACTGCACCAAATTAGATAAATTAAACCCAACCATAAAAGATAAGGTGGGACTGAGTTACGAGCTGCTATATGACTTTTTAAGATGTATTTGTGAAAGCAGTGTAGAGATTAATCTGAAACATTCTTCTTTACTGAAGATTTTCCATGATATTTAGATGAAAACTAATAGCGTTGGATTTTACTGCTAATTGGCACCTCCAGCAGCGTTAATATCAGTCTGAATGGGTTAAAGAGGCATAATGAAAGGGAGGCAACTGCTTTGCTTTATGTTTGTAAGATGCAAAATATTTTCAAAATAGGGAAAAATATTGCTAACATTAGTTGAAGGTGAGAGACTGAGCCCTCTCCAGAGCAACGTGTCTCCTTTTTAAAACTGACATTACCCGAACACAGTCTTAGAATATATCTTCTTCTTTTATCTTATGTCTTATAAACCTGCCTTGCATAAAACTGTAGCCAGTGGTAGACAGCTCAGTATGTTAAATAATTTAACTCTCCCACCACTCCAGAAAGCAGAGAACTGGAGAGAAGTGAAATGGAGGCAACCATATGTTTGTACGTGTATTTTATGGTTTCTAAAATATTTCCCTAGTTGGTTTATTGTAAATTGAAATTAAAAAAAAAAAACCCAAAGAGTTACAATGGTTTGTTTTCTTCTTCAGGTATTTATACATTTGGGCTGTTTGCTACAGATATCTTTGTAAATGCTGGGCAAGTGGTTACCGGGAATCTGGCTCCACATTTTCTTGCCCTGTGTAAGCCCAACTATACAGCTCTTGGATGTCAGCAGTATACACAGTTCATCAGCGGGGAAGAGGCCTGCACGGGCAACCCAGATCTCATCATGAGAGCAAGGAAAACGTTTCCATCCAAAGAGGCGGCTCTCAGTGTCTATGCAGCTATGTATCTGACAGTAAGTAAGGATTATTAACCGGTCTTCTTCTGTCCTTCTGTTAATTCTTCCAATGTAGACATTATTTTTCTCTGCCATAATGGAAGTCACATTAACAGCTTTCTGTAGGCCATTTGATTTATTTTTAATAATAGCTGTTTGTACTGTGGATAAAATTAAGTCAGTTGACTCTCATGAGATTATGTGTGGGTAGTTGGTTGTATTAAAAAATATAGCCATTAGCATTTCTATTTGAGAATATGTGTGTCTTTATGTTAAATAGGGTTTAATGGAAACACATTTGTCCCATAGCAGTCCCCATAATCTTGCAATAGCCCAATTAAGAAAACTACCCAAGCCTCTCAGCTGCCTGCTCAAGCTCTAATATTCTCTGGTGGAGGTGGACAGGGGACACTCTTTTTTTAGAAGACTTTTGTTTGTTTCATTAAAGGTAATTATGTCATCATAATATCTTAAACAGTGTTTTAATATTTTCTCACAGAACTAGCCAAAATGTCCTTATAAATTTTTTCCCTTTATTCTTGACTCTTTGCCCTCATTTTAGTGGTGAGAACCAGGCCCCTGGTTCAGGTATCCAGGACCTCTAGGTGGAAGTAAGTGGTCATGGTCAAGTGCATTACTGAGACAAGGCGAGCCTTGACAGGTAGCTCTTGGCCCCTGCATTGCTGCCATCGGCCTTTCCCTCTATTACCAGGGTCTGCCTTGTAGCTACGGAGCTGGACTCCAGAAAGTGTGCTCCGTAGGCTTTCCCGTGGCTACTGTAAAAAAAAAAAGTTCAGAGAATTTAAATGTCTTTGGGGGTTCTCCTTTCCAGTGGTACCCATAGCTACTTTTTTCTGATTTTAGCTCATTGACAAGAGATCTCAAACCAAATTTGAAACCAAATTTGATCATTGCTAATGACTTGAAAGAACTCAGAATTCTTTTTACCCTCAAATAGGTATTTGATTATGGAAATATTTCTGATATTCTTAATGCAGTCATATCTGCTTATCTCTAAAAACAGAGAGCAAAGCAGTAAAATACCTTATGACACCTCTACTTGAGATAGGAAATAAAATTACTAAATAAGCAACAATTTAGGAGGGGAAATTTAATATTGTATGTAACATTCACAGTGACAGGGTAATTATGGAGGCCATGAGTGTATGTATTTTAACATTTCTATAGTTTTCAAACCAAGATAGTTCTATCCGTCACAGTCTGGACTTTAAAAAAAATCCCATCAGAAAGGGTTTTATAGAGTTAAAGATCAAATCCCATCCTATCCATTTTCTCTTCCACTGTCTTTTGACTTCTGCACAGTTTGTCAGTTACAACTCCCTTTTCCCCCTCTCCGTATGCTCCCAACTCCATTCCTTTAATTTCCCCTCATTTCTTTATTCCATCAGCTTTACTTTCTGCTTCCCATTCTCAGGTACTTATAGACTTGATATAAAATCTGTTAATCCATACATATTCTTTCCTATTCACTAACCTGCTTGACAATGTGTTCCACCTCTCTTAGAACATGAAGCATTCAACCTTAAAATGCATATTTAAAACTTGAGTGAATCAGAAGTCAGAAAATACTTTTCATTCATTGTCATCACATCTAAATCTGATGCTGATATTTGTATCTGAGTATGAACTGTAAATGTTACTGCATATACATATGTGATCAAACAAGTGATTTGGGACAAATTCTAGAATACTCTCTGGACCCAAATCCTGTTACATGATTATTTTAGCACTTAATAGATGATAGATTTTGCTGTATAACCAGGGCTTGCCAATGATGAGAATGTGCTAGTTTATAAATACTTGATCTTTTCATTTTGCCAAAATTGTGTTTTCAAAGGCATTGCTTTAGGACAAGGCATTATCTTTTAAAGTACTGGCGAAATCTTAATATCTTACCTTGCCTCTAGTGAGATGGCACGTATTTTAACAACTTCTTATATATATATAATGGATACATAATTATCTATATATTATGTAATAATTATTATAATAGCAAATATTCATTGAGAATTTACTATGTGTCGAGCACCAAGTGCTTCCACTTTTACTAATTCATTTAATATATATTACTAATTCTTATTGATGTCTTAAAATTTATTCTTTATTGATTGTAATTACTATTCATGTGTTAATTGATTATTGATACTAATTTTTTGAATCCTCATAAAAACTCCTTGAAGTATGTAGTATTATTATGCCCATTTTATAGATGAGGACACTCGGACAGTGAAATAACTCGTCCAGATCCATAGAACCACACAATTTCCTGGCTACAATGATTCCAAATATTCCAGAGAAGGAATCATTGAGTCATATTAGCCCTAACATGTGCTTGGTCACCTGAATTTCCTCCTGCTGCCACATGATCTCAGCATCCATAAGGTTATGGTGTAGGGTTCAGATGGAAGATATGTTTAGAGAAAAAACATTTAATAACACTGCAACCCTCTAAGGTCTTCTAACATTAAAGCGTGGTTCAGACTGAAAGTCAGGATTCCTACTTGTAATTACATTGAAGGGTACCTCTGTATTTTTAACAATAGATTCTGTTCTCTGCTAACAGCATTTCTGTCTTCCCTACACCCTTTGTGAGTGTGCGAGTGTGGGTGGCTGCTATGGCAACTCTGAATATAACTCCTGCTGCAAATGTAGGCATTACAGTCAGGTTTTGCTGTTATATTGGATCCCATATACATATATATTTCTCCCCAGTTTCACTAGAGGCACCTTGGGAAAACTTTATAATAGAAGCGTCAGGGTATTTCAAGCTAATACAGTCTCGTGAAATGCTTGCCAGAATTCTGATGAGTAGGTATGTAGGAGAAAATAGCCATATAATCAGTATTTTCTGTGGAAACAGCTTATTGTTGTATTTAGGTATATGTTTGTTTAATGTTGTGTAGGTGTAATAAACATATGTACATACATAATAAAAACAAATAAGCCTTATTATGAAGTATGCGAATAAGAACTGAGAAATAGTTTTCTGACATTTCTTTTTGTGGATTAGTAAGTAAAATTAAGGAACTTGAAGTCTCCCTTAGCATTTGACTTTAATTAAGGCTTTGGGGATAATTTGATAACAGAGTTGTTCTCTTTTGCTTTACTGAGAACTTTCAGGGGGAAAAAAATCCCTATGCCTATTTTTGCGAATGTTGTCGGTTTCCCAGGAAAACATTCTGAAGGTTATTTAACCCTCACCATTAAATTTATAATTCAGTGTTAAGTCATATTAGAATAATATTTAAATTTAGCTTTGTGTTATTCATTTCATATAAAGCGAGCAGTTTTTCTAATTAAAGTAAAATGAACTTCCAAGTTGAGAATGAGAAATAGTGTTTCATGACTTTCCAGTTAACCTCATAAACCAGTGACAGGAAGACATAAAATGATCTCTTTAGGTGACTTCCAATTCTGACCTTAGATTGATTTTCTGAACATCAGAATGGAAGAGAGAAAAAGAGAAAGAAGAGGGATGGAGGGAAGAAGGGAGATAGGGAAGAAGGGAGGAAGGAAGGGAAAAAGGAAAGAAGGGAAAAAGGAAAGGGAGAAGAAGGAAAGAGAGAGGAAGGAAGGAAGGGGTCAGCTACACTTGTTGGCCTGTTACTATTTTTGGCTGTGACCAAACCACCCTATACCTCAAACAAGAATTTGCTATCCTCAGGATTCTGTGGGATGACCTGTGGTTTTACTGGTCATTGAACCTTGCTTCTCTCATGTGTTGTGTTCAGCTAAGGGGTGGGGACAGCTCAGTAGCTGGGCCTCTCTCATTCTCAAGAGACTTCCCCGAGAGCATCTGAGAGCAGCCTTCCAAGAGAGCAGGGACCTGGGCTACAGGGCATCTGAAGCTTCGGCTCCAAAACTTGTCCACCATCCCCAACTCTGGGCTCTGTTGGTCCAAGCAAATCCACAAGGGCAGCACAGATTGATGGCAGCAGAGAAACAGGCTCCACCTATAAATAAGAGGTGAAATAGAATCAGATTGTAAAGAAATTGATGTACTAAGAAAGGAGTAGTTTGTGGATATTAAACAGTTCACTGCAGTCTTTTCCCGGATATTAGCAGAAAGCTCTGAAATATCATTACCCTCCACCTTGTTGGTGTCCAGAGCTCGGCATCTATCTGCTCTTGCTGCCCACACTGCCATCTTTTATAATAATCTCACAAGGTCCCATGTACCCACGGGCTGCCACAGGCTGCCAAGACAAGGGTACAATAAAAACAACCCACGTAGATCTGTTTGCCCCTCTTGTAGTACTGTTTTACCTAAGCTATGTAGGGGCATATACAGGTCTTCATGCGGGGGCACAGGAATTTGAGGGATGCATGGCAGTTTGTCTGTAGCATTTGATTTCATGAGACTGGTCAGGGACTGTGTTTGGAGGGGAAACATCAAAGTGGGTAAAAGAAAAGTTCTGGGCTACCTTCATGTGTTTGTCTTCAGTGACTGATGAGATCTGGCTGCTATCAGAAAGCCATTCCTCTAAATCTTCCCTGCTCAGAAGTAATTTAACACTGAAATGTGTAAGTTCCCTGTGCTCTAGATTTCAAATGAGCAAATTTGTGTCTACTAGATAATATATCAAAAGGTATTTATCGAGGACTCGCTCATAATGTGACTGCAGTATGTACTATTACTGTGATTCCTGTTGCTGTGACCGCTATTATGAGTCGATTGGCATTTTTTTTCCCTGTCAGCCTTCAGCTAAGTGTCATGGGGGTAAGGAGGTTACTAAAGACATCTGCAAAGTACCTGTTTAGTTCCAGTGGGGTCATTACCATGGACCCCTTTTATAATTTACCCTCTTCTCCCACACTCCTCCACGAACTTTATATTTCTAAATCTTCTATCTAATATGATGCTTTCCCATCTCAACTTAGGCCCAGATATTATTTAAAAAATATATTTAGGGGCGCCTGTGTGGCTCAGTCGGTTAGGTGTCCGACTTCGGCTCAGGTCATGATCTCACGGTTTGTGGGTTCGAGCCCCGCATCGG